ATGTATACAATAGTCTGTCTGTGTGTATGTCTGCAGGCCAGAAGAGGGCACCAGACCTTATTACAGATGGTTGTGAGCCACCATGTGGTTGCCGGGATTTGAACTCAGGACCTTTGGAAGAGCAGGCAATGCTCTTAACCACTGAGCCATCTCTCCAGCCCACTCTCTTAATCTTTCAAGATGATTTGTGCTGCCCAAATATTCCTGGATTCTGGAGAGCGGTTGACTTACCAAGGGCTACCCTCTCAGAGAAAATTGACGCTTCCTTTCCCAGCAAACAGTTGACATTAGCTTGGCTGCTTGTGGTGGGATAGAGTGCCCACCTCTCCTGTCCCTGTTGGAATTTGGTTTGGCTTGGGCTTGCAACAGGTTTTGACCATGGTGTCGAAACTGCTGTGAGTACAGCTGCCCTGCCATGTCCAGAAGATAATGCGTTCCTTCTAGCCATCAGCTGCCTCAGGCTCTCACACTCTCTTCCAAAATGATCCCTGAACCTTGGGAGGGAGTTCACAGTATGCCCACTCCTTTTAGGGCTGAGCATTGTGCAATCTCTTACGTGGCCGGTTATGCATCACTGTGTTTACCACCATCTACCGTGCACAGAAGCTTCTCAATTGAGGGATGAGAGATGCGTTGGTCTCAGAGACCAGTGATGCATCATTGGGACTTAGTGTAACACTCTGCCCTTCGGCTTCTCCTCTAGGGCCTCTGACCTGTCTAAGCCATAGGTAGCTAAATAATGGTGTCAGTATGGATTTCTGAAGCATGATTAATAAAAACTCAGAGACAGAAACTGGGGTTCAACTGAAGGTCAGAAAGGCAAAACAGCCAGCCATTGGCTCTTACCTCTACCTCAGTCTGAAAAGGCTATCCTGTCTCCAGGAATCTTAGAATGATACTGTGTCTGAGAGCTGTCTCCTCCAATTTTATAATCCTCCCTAGGGCTGAGATTAAGGGCGTGCACCACTACCGCCTGGTTTCTATGACAGCTGGTGTAGCTGCTGGGATTAATTTAAAGGTGTATGTTATTGTTGCCTGGTCTGTAAGGCTGGTCAGTGTGACTGTTTTACTTTTCTGGTCCACAGGCGAGCTTTATTTATTAAGATACAAATGAAATGCTACTACAGGTTTCATCCTGTGAAGTGGGACGCCAATCTAATCAGAAAGTGGTTGGTTGCTCCCATGATGGTCATGACTCTGCCCCAGTGGGCGTGTCTTTCAGGTCAGTCATTATTGTAGCTTGTAGCATGACTGAGGACGACTTTTCTCCACTATCATGAACCTTCCAGCACTGTGGAAGCCAGCCAGTAGAGAGAAAGCTTCTAAGTTCACACCAGCTTGGTTTTTGCCATGTTCTGAGACTCAAGCCTTCAGCAACGGGGCCTCGCTGTCAGGCTCTGAAGTAAATTCCAACAGCCTGTGATGTTTGGGGATCTATGGGACCTCAGGAGCCAACAACTCCAAAAGTGACTCACACCTGGCACTGGGTTTCTCAATATTTATTTTTCTGTTTAATTTTATGTGTCTGTGTAACTGAGTGTGTGTCTGTGCACCATATGTGTTCAGGAACCTGGGAGGTAAGAAGAGTCAGGGCTACTGGAACTAGAGTTAATGACAGCTGTGAGCTGCCATGTGAGTGCTGGGGACCAAAGCCAGATCCTCTGCATGGGCAGCCAGCAAGCACTCCTGACTGCTGAACCACCGCTCCAGCCCTGGGCACGGGACATATTTCTACTGGATATGTATTCATTTCTCTTTGATCCATACTTATATAGGAGTAGAATTGCTGGAACATACGATAATTATAACTTTTGAGGAAATGCCAATTTTTTTCAACAGTTGTATCATCTGATACACTCATCAATGGGACCTAAGTATTACAGTTTCTCTATATCTTTGTTTATTACATTTTTTATATAATCTCTGTATCTTTGTTTTTACATTACACTAAAGATTTGTTAAGGGCTTCCAGCACTCACGAGATTGAGGCAGGGAAAGACAGGAGGTAGAGGTCAACCTGGGCTACATATCAATACCTTGTCTCAAGAAAAAATAATCAGTTACCTAAGGCTATATACATTTTTTTTTGGTTTTTTTGAGACAAAAAACTGTAGCTTTGGAGCCTGTCCTGGAACTAGCTCTTGTAGACCAGACTGGCCTCGAACTCACAGAGATCCGCCTGTCTCTGCCTCTCAGGGCTGGGATTAAAAGCGAGCTCCACCCACCTGGCTGGCTGTATACACTTTTGTTACAGAAGTAAACAGGTGTTGAACAAGCCTCCAGACATCTCAGAACCAGTTTCTTTCTCTGTGAAGTGATGCCTGAGAGGAATATACGACCACAGATAAATGTTGTATAGAAAACACCAGTGCAGGGTAGTTAAGAACACTGGTTGCTCTTCCAGAGGACCCAGATTCAATTCCCAGCATACCCATGACAGTTTGTAACTGTAGTAACTCCAGTTCCAGGGGATCTAAAACCTTCATACAGACATCCATGCAGAAAACACCAATGCACATAAAATAAAAATAAATAAATCATCAAAAATGTTAAAACAAACAAACCCCCACCAGTATAGGGCTGGGTATGTTGTGGTGCACATCTTTAATCCCAGCCCTTGGGAAACAGAGGAGCTACGGGAGTTCAAGGCCAGCTCAAGGCCAGCCTGGTCTATGTAGTGAATTACAGAACAATTAAGACTATACAGTGAGACCCTGTCTCAAAAAACAAAAAAAGAAAGAAAACACTACTGTAAACCGGGTAGTGGTGGCACACACCTTTAATCCAAGCACTCAGGAGGCAGAGGCAGGCAGATATCTGTGAGTTCGAGGCCAGCCTGATCTACAAGAGCTAGTTCCAGGACAGGCTCCAATGCTACACAGAGAATTCCTGTCTCGAAAAACCAAAAAGAAAAAACAAAAACAAAACACAACTACTGTAGACAACTGTTATTTTCCACAGAACATAAGTTTAGTGGAGGCAAAAACCCCGGACACACCCCTGTACCATTATTCTCCCCAAACCCTTGAAGGACATGTTTGAGAGACTAGCTGGAAAGCAGCAGTTGCAGGCAGTGAGGACTCAGGCACATGTTTAAGCGTGTACTATATGCTAAACCTTGTGGAGAGATACCAAGATGAAAATGGCGCCAGCTAGCCTTCAGAGAACAAAAACGAGAACTGTGGGCACACAGGCACCCCATTAACTAACCATCCACCACCCCAGACCATGCATACTTCCGTCAGGGTGGGGGAAGGTCCCAGAGAAGAGGTCAGTGGGGGGGGGGGTGTCTAGAGCTGGGTTACTTCTAAGGCAGATATGGTCCCCATCTCAGTAAAGTCATCTGACCCGGGGCCATCTACCCCTTTCCTAGGTGCTTCAGGACCGCGAAGGAAAGCGCTGCATGTTTTGTGTGAAGACGGCTAGCCGCACCTACGAGATGAGCGCCTCAGACACGCGCCAGCGCCAGGAGTGGACGACCGGTGAGTGCCGGTCTGGGTCTAGCTGGGCCTCGGTCACTTCATCCGAGCGACCCTTGGACGCCCTTGGCCGTGGTGGCCTAGACCCCGGCTGACTCCGTCCCGCTCGGCCCCGTAGCCATCCAGACCGCGATCCGGCTGCAGGCGGAGGGGAAGACGTCGCTGCATAAGGACCTGAAGCAGAAGCGACGGGAGCAGCGGGAGCAGCGCGAGCGGCGACGGGCAGCCAAGGAGGAGGAGCTGCTGCGATTGCAGCAGCTGCAGGAGGAGAAGGAGAGGAAGCTGCAGGAGCTGGAGCTGCTGCAGGAGGCGCAACGGCAGGCTGAGCGGCTGCTGCAGGAGGAGGAGGAGCGCCGCCGCAGCCAGCACCGGGAGCTACAGCAGGCTCTGGAGGGCCAGCTGCGGGAGGCGGAGCAGGTGAGGCTGTCCAGAGGGCGTGGCTTGGATAGGGGGCGGAGCCTCTGGGAGGGAGTCGGGTGGGGCAGGGTCTTGACAGAAGAGTGACAGGAAGAGGACCAGGGCTGGGCCTACGTACAGTGCAGGGCGTCTGGAGGATGCTCTGAGAGGGCCTTAGAGAGGGTGGAGCCGTAGGCTGATGGAAGAACGGAAAGTAGAAGTTGAAGAATGCTGTAGGCGGGGCCTGAACAAAGGGTGGATCCCGTGGGGTGGAAGATGTTGTGGGCATGGCCTAATGAGTGGTGGGGAGGGGCCGTAATAGTGGGTAGAGCCTAGGGCAAACCCCTGGTATAGATGGGACCTAGCTCAGAAATCTTTTCTGGGGTCAGGACTTGGGCCGAAAAAGCTAGTGATTGTAAATGGTTTGGAATGAAGTCCGTCTAGACTTGAACCACATTTTAAGAAAACCAGTTTGGGGACTATAGGCTGGGATTAGTTAGGTAGGACACACGAAGGCCGAGTAGACACGCAGAAACAATTGAATTTATAATTTGAGAAAACTCGGTTCTAGGCTATCGAGCTGGTTCAGCGGGTAAGTCGCTTCCCGCACAAACCTAGCATCCTGAATTCTATTCCTGGAACCCCCTAAAGATAGGCAGAGGAAGCCAGGCGGTGATGGTGCACGCCTTTAATCCCAGCACTTGGGAGACAGAGGCAGGCGGATCTCTGTGAGTTCGAGACCAGCCTGGTCTACAAGAACTAGTTCCAGGACAGGCCCCAAAACCACAGAGAAACCCTGTCTCGAAAAAAAAAAAATAAAAAAAAAAAAAAAGATAGGCAGAGGAAACTGCCTCCACAAAGCTGTCCTCTGGCCACCACAGGCATGTTGTGGCATGTGTGCCCATTACGCCTCCACCGTAAGAGCTGTAGGAACCCAGGACGTGCTAAGTCTCCCTGTATCAGCAACTAGAACTCTGTTCCTGGAGCTAGGCCGAGGATTCGGTGAAGAAATACTTGTAAGAAATTCAATAAAGCCAGGCAGGGTGCCTCATGACTCTAATCTCAGCACTGGAGAGGTGGAGGCAGGAAGCTCAAGAGTTCAAGGTCATTCTTGCTACCTAGAGAGTCTGAGGCCAGCCTGGACCTCCTGAGACCCTGTTTCAAAGAACCAAGAGGGGCTGGAGTGATGGCCCCGCAGTTAAGAGCCCTGGCTGCTGTTTCAGAGGACCCAGCTTGGGCTCCCAGCACCCACATGACAGCTCAAAACCAGCCAGCGGATCCCACACCATCTTCTGGCCTCTGTGGGCACTGTCCACACGTAGTGCGCAGACAGCTATGCAGCTAAAACACCCATGCACATGAATAAAAACTTTTAAATAATAAAAAAATTCAATACCTTTTGGTTGTCCTAATAACTGCAGTCCCTGACACCTACCATAATATTATAATTGTTATAGTAGGAGTTAGGAAGGGATTACCGTAATTTAATATGTTATTTTATTGTAATATAACATAGTATGATGTTTAATTACATATAATTATAATTGGTGTTGTTTTGTGAGGTGCTGGCTAGCAAACACAGGGCCGTGAGCATACTAGGCAAGCCCTCTGCCGCTGAGCTACAGCCCCAGCAAACACCTAATTATTATTTCTAAGGCCAGTGGAAGGAAAGAATAATTTGAGGCATCAGGCTCTTGGACAAATCAAGGAAACCCCAACTAAAGATCCTCCAATACAAACAGCCAGGCAGAGCCAGGGAGAGGCAGTAGCAGTAGCCTGTCTCCTCCGGTGTCCCACTGACCGGCCCTGTGCTCCCACAGGCCCGGGCATCTATGCAGGCTGAGATGGAGCTGAAGAAGGAAGAGGCGGCCCGGCAGCGGCAACGCATCGCCGAACTGGAGGAGATGCAGGAGCGGCTGCAGGAAGCCCTGCAACTGGAGGTGAAAGCTAGGCGGGATGAGGAGGCCGTACGCCTTGCCCAAACCAGGTAACCGCACGAGGACGGAGTCCCTTTTCCGCCAGCGCCTGAGCGCCCCCCTCCACGCCCCGCTCTGAGGTTCCTATGCGCTCCTGCAGACTACTGGAGGAGGAGGAGGAGAAGCTGAAGCAGCTGATGCATCTGAAGGAAGAGCAGGAGCGCTACATCGAGCGAGCACAGCAGGAGAAGGAGGAGATGCAGCAGGAGATGGCGCTGCAGAGCCGTTCCCTGCAGCAAGCCCAGCAGCAGCTGGAGGAGGTGCGGCTGAACCGGCAGAGGGCGGACGAGGACGTGGAGGTGAGACACCCGCGGGAACCGGGAGAAACTGGGGGAGCCAGTGTGTCATTGCGCCTGCCCCAGAGCCAAGCTACCTTGCTTTACACTCGCCGGCTGTATTACCGCATACAGATTGCTTAACCTCTCTGAGTCTGAAGCTCTGGGAAAGGAAACAGATAACTCCTGTTACCACAATGAAACAAGCTAATGCGTGGTATTTAGTATGTAAATACAGAACGCACCTGTGACTGTATTTACCAATAGTATAACTAACCCGAGCAGAATTTCCCCTCCTCCTCTTCTAAGCCCGAAGTTTGTACACACTCCTTGGAGCTTGAATCCCTGTAGATAAGGGTTCTAGGGTTTTTTTTTTTTTTTTATTAAGCTTTTACATTTTTTATTTCCTTTTATATGTGTGGTTGCTTTGTCTGCATGTATGTCTATGTACTGTGGGCAGGCAGCACCCATCGTGTCCAGAAAGTGGTAGTATTGGACCCCCGGTGACTGGAGTTACAAACACTTGTAAGCTACCCTGTGGGTGTCCCACCCTGGTCCTCTAAGAGCCATCTCTTCAGTACAAAGATGTCTTTTAGGGTCTGGGGATGCGGCTCAGTTTGTAGAGGACTTGCCTGGCGTGCACAAAGCCCCCGTTCACTCCCCAGCACTGTTTGCATCAGGCACTGAGGCTGAAATCTCAGCACTCAAGAGTTGGACAAGGGCTAAGAGCACCTGGCTGTTCTTCCGGAGGACCCAGGTTCAATTCTCAGCACCCACATGGCAGCTCACAGCTGTCCAGTTCCAGGGGATCTGACACCTTCACTCCAATGCACATAAAATAAAGCTAGATAAAATCTTAGAAGCAAACAAACAAATAAAAAAAAAGAGTTGGACAAGAAAGGATCAGAAGTTCACAGTCATCACCGCCTGCATAGTGAGTCTGAACACACAAGACCCTGTCTCATAAAAGGAAATTAAATACATTTTAAAAAAAGCTTTTGCTGGGTTTTAGTGCTAGGCCTTTAGATCCTAGCACTCTGGAGATAGAGGCAAGTGTATCTCTGTTGAGTTCTAGGCCAGCCTGGTCTACAGAGAGTTCAGGCTGGCCAGAGCTACATAGTGAGAACACGTGCTGCTCTTCCAGAGGACCCGAGTTCAATGCCCAGCACCTACATCAGCGGGCTCCTAGCCATGTGTGGCTGCAGCTCCAGTGAAATCCAACTCCTCTGGCCTCCGTGGGCACCTACACTCCTGTATACCCAGACACAATATAATAATTTGTTGTTGTTGTTTTAAGACAAGAATTCTCTGTGTAGCTTTTTTTTAGATTTATTTATTTATTATGTATAATGTTCTGTCTGTATATATGCTTTCTGGCCAGAAGAGGGCACCAGATCTCACTACAGATGGCTGTGAGCCACCATGTGGTTGCTGGGAATTGAACTCAAGACCTCTGGAAGAGCAGTCAGTGCTCTTAACCTCTGAGCCATCTCTCCAGCCCCTCTCTATGTAGCTTTTAATCCTGTCCTGGAACTCACTCTGTAGATCAGGCTGGCCTCGAACTCACAGAAATCTGCCTACCTCTGCCTCCTGAATGCTGAGATTAAAGGCACATGCCACCACCACCTGGTGACATACATAATTTAAAATAATAAATATAAATCTTAAAAGAGCTTTATTTTATTTTTTCTGGCTGACACAGTCATTGCAAAAACAATGCAGACTGGAGAGTTGGCCCAGTGGTTAAGAATACTTGTTGCTATTACAGAGGATTCAGATTTAGTTGCTAGCACCCTAGGTCACAGCCACCTACAACAACACAAAAATGGACAGCCCACTCGCCCTGCTCAGGGGTCTGAATTCTGGTGCAGAGACTCCCCCACGAGGTCCTAGAAAATTTGTTAAACAATGGTTTGGAATTTGTGTATGTCCCTGGGTTTGTTGTTTAACCTGTTTCAAATTTGTCTGTGTTAGCTTCTGCTCAGGAAGCTAGATAAAATAGGAAATGCGCTTAGTGTGTCTTAGCAGCTCGTGAATGAAAATGATGATCACTGAACCTTTGGGAGGACACGAGTCCCCTGAAATTGGAGGCAGACTCTGACTTTTTGTGAACATGCGTGGGCTTTGTTTTTTAAAGATTTACTTTTTTTATGTGATGTGTATGTGCATGCCTGCATGCAAGTGTCCTTGGAGACTAGGACTGGCGTCCTTGGGCCTTGAGTTACAGATGAGCTGCCTGCCACGTGGGTTCTGGGCAGCAAACCTGGGTCCTCTGTATGAGCAGCAAGTGCTTTTTACCACTGAGCCATCTCTCTAGCTCCCTTCGCCCACCATGTTTAATACAGGATCTCACATCTGTAGTTTGTTATATAGTCCAGGCCATGACCTCCCCCTTCCTTTATATCCCAAGTACGTAGTCCAAGTATGCACCACCATGGCTGGCTCTACATGAGTTTCCCAGAGCGATGATGAGGTCAGATTCTCAGGGGCTCTGACCCTTTCCTACCACCCACTCCACAGGCCGCCCAGAGGAAGTTGCGCCAGGCCAGCACCAACGTGAAACACTGGAATGTCCAGATGAACAGGCTCATGCGTCCGATCGAGCCAGGAGGTGAGCCTTCCCTTCTTGGGGTGGAGTAAGGGAGGCTTCCATGTCTCCCAGGCCACAAAGGTAGAAGAAGTCAAAGGTGTCCCCTATCCCAGGGCTAAGGCAAGACCCTCACTTCCCCCATTTCAACTCGCTTTTCTCCTTCCCACCTCTCTCTCTGCCAGATAAGCGTCCCACCACCAGCAGCTCCTTCACTGGCTTCCAGCCCCCTCCCCTCGCTCGCCGGGACTCTTCTCTAAAGCGGCTGACCCGCTGGGGCTCCCAAGGCAACAGAACCCTTTCAGCCAACAGCAGTGAACAGAAGTCCCTCAATGGTGGGGACGAGACTCCCACCCTGGCTTCTACCTCTCAGGAAGATAAAGTGGACCCGGCGCCAGAAAACTAGCCTCTGATGACCCTTGTGATGCTGTGTCTACCAGGACCTGGCTACAGCGGGATGTGGGTGACTCCAGCCTCTGTGAACGGTCCTGGGGCTACGGGCCCGGGTCTGCTGACCAGAAGTCGGTCCAAGATAGGATGTGGTTGCCATTCTCGCCAGGTCCAGACCACAGAGGCTGTCTGGGGTGTTAATGATCAAGAATATGGTTCTGTGCTTCAGCCTCAAGGACCCTGTGACCAGGGCTGGGAAAGAAACTGAACAATTAGTACAGAGGTTATTTGTCCCCAAAGGTCATCTGCCCTCTCCCCTCCAGACTACCACTAAGTCATGGAGGCATACTTCCAAATAAAACTGCTCCCACCTGCCCCCTGCTCCTGTTCCTCCCCCCCCCTTTCCGCCCCTCCCTCAAATTCAAGTTCAAGGTCCCAGAGGCAGCCGGTGTGGCGAGGTGGTTAGGAGTGTGGACTGTGGGCTGGACCTGGCTCTGCCGCTTTGCACTCCCCATGCTGATCAATGGAGATGATCACAGTCCCCAGTGGGGAGGGCCTGAGGAGCACAGACTCATGCTGACAGCATCGTTAGTCTTGTCTGGAGTGTTCATTGAGCGTCTGTTGTCTACCTGGAGGCCACCTACATTAATCCATTCCCATAGCAACCGTAAGAGCTGGATTACTGTTACTGTGATTGCAATACTAGAGGTGCAGGCAGATCGGGCCGTTTGTCTGAGGCCTTTCAGACTCACTTTGCACCCCGTATTCTCTGAACATGGACCTTGTTCCCTCAGACGAGAGCCTAGGTTGTAGACTCCGCAAAGTTTGCTCCCGGTTTCATACCTCTCACTGCAAGCCTAGGAAGTTCACCAGGACCGCTCTCCTGTGTGTTCCTGTACCTCTCTCGGATGCTTTAAATCTAGATGGTTGACCTCTTCCTCATGTGTTGAATGCTTGTCCCCAGCTCGGAGCACTATTTTGGGGAGACTATGGAGTCTGTAGCAGGTAGGAACTACCTGGGAAGTAGGTCACTATGAGGCCAGCTTTGGTTCCTCTGTGGTTCTCTGCTCACTGTGTTGCCAGGTTATAAACAGCTTCTCAGGACTATCCACTGAACTACTTCTCCATGCCGCCCCTGCCGCAATGGAGTGAGCCCTCCCAACCCTAAGCAAAAAACAAAAAACAAAACCCTTCCCTCCCTTTGTTTGTGCCGGACGCTGGGACGCTGTCGTGTGACACAGAAATAACTACTAAGCCCTTCTTTCCCATCCCCATAGCTGCGGAGTGTGAACCGTGGGCTCCTCCATATGGCCTGTGTTTAATAAATCGCCCAATCGACTGGATTCTTTGGGTCAGTCCCAAATCCACGCCAGAGGTGCTACTGCCGGTGGCCACTCATGCTGGTCTCTGTCCGCTCCTAATTAAATAAGAGCTTCGCTGGGATTTCCTTCCAATCCTGCTGCCTGGGTGGCATTTCCAAAATGCAGGTGCGATCTTGACTCTCTTTTCCAGCCTCTCGGTGCAGTCCGGAAGGGATTGTTGCATTGAGACAAGGTCTCTCTCTATAGCTCAGAATAGCTGCCAAGTCAGCATGCCCCTGCCTAAACCGTGGTAGGCACGACCACAATTAGCTATGTCCAAGGGTTAATTTAATTAGTGCATGAGTGTGCATACACACACACATGCCATGGTGAATGTGTAGAGGTCAGAGGACAACTTTCAGAAGTCGGGTCTCTCCTCCTAACCCAGGCATCAAACTCACGCCATCAAGCTTGGCAGAGGCACCTCTACCTGCTGAGCCATCATCCTGGACCTGCCTCGTGAGTTCTGACCTGTCAAGTCTGCTTGCTCCCTTCCTTGTGGGAAATGAGAGCTGTGGCAATCCACCCGGGAAGACCTGCTACAATTTTGCCTCAGGGATCTAGCTTCAGCTTCCTTCTTCCTCTGGGTCTCCTCGCGGTTGTCCTTTCTCAGCGTTTGTAACTAAGTGTTGGAGTTCTTCAGTGCTGTCCCCAGTGCCTGACCCAAGGCTTGCTTCTGAGAAACTGTAACAAACATGTATTAAATGGATGTCATGCACAACTTAAATGGGTGTGGCACAGTTCGGATGTGAAGACGGACGTAGCTGAGGCTGGGGCTCAGATCTGTCCCTCATCCAGTCCAGTGTGTCAGGACGCTGTGCGATGTGCAGGGTGTTCCCTTTGGTGTGCGCTGTTATCTGAAAATGGTTCCTGCCCTTCTGGAGCTTGCTTGCTCTTTGATCACGAAGGTCACAGCTCCTGCCAGTGAACCCGATGCTCTTTCAAGGAAGTTTGTGACATTTAAAGTTCCTTGAAAGAGGGTACAGAGGTGAGGGGTGGAAGGGGAAGTCCAAACTCCAAGTACTGTGGGAATAACTGGGGCAGAGGGATATGCACAGGGGAATTGGGAGTTGAGAGTGCCCTGGCTGCCGTTTTGTTTCCGCAGCGCTGAGGATGGAAGCCAGGGCCTTTTCAGCCTTACTGCTCACCGCGCAGGGGCTGCCTCTCCAGCGCTGCCCTCCCTCATTTTTCTTTCGTTTTATTATTATTATTTTAAAGAGATGTTCTTGCAGTGTGCTGAGCTGCCCTCAGATCACTCTGTAGTCCGGGATGGCCTTGCGCTCACCCTCTTCCTGCCAGCCTCCCACATACTGAAATGTCGGGTGTGCACCGAGCTGGCAAGCCCTTAGCATCCTACAAATATGAAGGAGATCAGGACAACACTGAATAAGTAGCACTATTTATGGGTACAAGAAGTCTGGATTCTGAGCCCGTATGGGCTATAATTCTGGCACTGAGGGGCAAGAGGAGGCATGGAGGCAGGCAGATCAAAGGTTTTACAAAAGTAAAGGGGGGGGTGGACTACACAGATAAACACTTTTAAGCCAGTCTGATTACATATTGTGCGTGCGCGCACACACTCACCCATGGGATCCAGCTATTAGAAGGGGTAGAATTGATGGGTGATTGTTCTTCTGATTGGAAAGGGGATTCTTTAGAGTGCAGAGTTGGAAGAAAATCAGTTTGTCAGTTCCCAAGTGCTGTCTACTGAAACTGTCATCCAGTTTTCAATGCCACCTTCCCTGCTTTCAAAAGGGATCTCTGTGAGTTCCAGGGCAGCCTGGTTTTCACAGTGAGTACTAGGAAAGCCAGGAACATAGTAAGACCCTCTCCACACACTCTAAGCAAAGCAAAACACACACACACAGAAGGAGGAAGAGGACAGAAAAGAAAGGTGAAGGAAGAATTAAGAAATTCTTAAAACCCAGACAGAGTTGATTGATTGATGAATTGATTGAATGATTTCTAAATTATTATCATTATTGACAAGACCTATAGCCCAGGCTTCTAGGAACGTGAGGTCTAAGTCCGACTTAGCCTTCCCAGAGTGGGGATTACAGGCACGTCCCACCATGACTGGCTAAATCATCAACCATGTGTCAGATAAAGTTGGTTATCTGGGGGGCGTTTATTGAGCCAGCATCTCATATATCCCAAACTGACCTGAAACTCACTGTGTAGTTGAGGCTGGCCTTGAACTCCTGCCCTTCTGCCCCCACCCCCCCCAAGTGTTGGGTTGTAGATGTGCACACCACCACACGTGGCTAAGGCGAGCTTGGATTCTTGCTATGCTGTGATCAAATGGGGCCTTCCTACTTTCCCAGCCCGACGAAGGATTTAGGCTCGATGTTACCAACGATCCCCTGTGCCTCAGTTTCCTCAGCGGTAAGTGGAGTCTCTTCTGGGCTCTCCAGTGTCTTGTGGTGCAGCATGGGGAAGCACTTACAGCTGACGTGCTGAGGTATGACGTCACAAGAGTGATCATGTGATGTCTGAATGTGATCTAATTTTGAGCAGCATGAGAAGCTGTCATCTTGGGGGGCAGAAGATATTTCCTAGTTTTTCAAACCCAAGGGTAGTGGTGGTGGCACACGCCTTTAATCCCAGCACTCAGGAGGCAGAGGCAGGTGGATCTCTGAGTTCGAGGCCAGTTGGGTCTACAGAGTGAGTTCCAGGACTGCCAGGGCTACACAGAGAAACCCTGTCTTGAAAAAGCAAATAATAAAGAAAAGAATTCCTCTGTGCTGTTCAACGTCCTAAGAGTGTGTCCTGTTTCAGACACCCTCATACCCTCTAAACCCTGGGGTTCCCACGGGAAACATAGCCATTGTGGCCCCAGGTTCTCTAGTTCTGTGTGACTTCTGTATAAGAACGGGTGGGGACACAGAGCTGGAGTGCTACAGGCGTGTTAGACGCTGTTGTCAGGAGCCACCCAGACCTGGCAAGCAGCTGCTTTGAATTGCTGCCCTAGCCCCTGCTGCAGAGAAAGGGGAAGGAGGAGAATGGTCCCCAGAGTCGCCGGCACCACCTGCAGGCCAGCAGCTGACACGGCTGTGAGCAGGATGCTAGCTGACAAACTACACAGACACCGGGCATCTCTGGGCAGGTTTGGGTAGCTGAGATCCCTGGCTCGCTTCAAAGGACTATAAAAACTTGGCTGGGATCTGCTTTTCCTACCCAGCTGCCCCCAAGGCAAATCTAGACCACAGGAAGATTTGGGGGCACTCTTTCAATCAGGGTTATGATTCAAGACACAGAAAGAGACTGAATTATTATTGAATCATTAACTATTTATGGAAGTGACGAATTCAGCATGGCATACATGTGGAGGTCCGAGGACAACCTGCAGGAATCAGCCCTCTATCGGCACCATGTGGGTTCCAGGGAGGGGACAGGTCATTAGACTTGGCAACAGGCACCTTTACCCATTAAACATCTTATCAGCCCAAAAAGAGAATATTTAAGAACCTAGAAGGGGGCAGTGAGAGGGCTCAGCATGTAAAGGGGCTTGCTGCCAAGCCTGACGATCTGAGTTCAAGTACCAGGACCCACAAGGTGGAAAGACTGACTCCAGCAAGTTGTGCCCTGACCTTTGTATGTGTGCACGCACAAGCACACAAGCACATACAATAAATACAATGTAACAAGAACAGCAGCAAGAACCACAAAGAATGGGGTGGGTTTGGATTTGGATCTGGGAGGAGTTAGAAGAAAGAGTGTAGGGAGGTGAATAAGAACAAAATACATAATATACAAGTAGGAAATCCCCAAAACTAACAGAAATATTGTATTATAAGAAAGGAATTCATAAGAGGGCTAGAGATGTGGCTCAGTGGGTAGAGAGCTTGCTTAGCATGCCTGAAGCCCTGGCTTCTACACCCACTGCCATATGAACTGGGCACAGAGGATTCCTGCACGTGGGAAATGGAGCTACCAAGGTCATCCTGTTCCAGACTGGCCGAGATACTATGTGAGAGCCCATCTAAATCAAAATGGTAGAAACCTCAAGGCAGACTTTGACTTCCACAGTCCTTTACTGTAGTCTCAGAGGATAAGAGAGCGAGTTCTAGAACAACCAGGGCTGGAACACAGAGAAACCCTGTCACGAAAAGTCAGGGTGTTTGTGTGGCAGGGGGAGGGCAATAAAGGGAGGTAGAGAGACAGCTCCAAAGTTAGAGGGGACCAGAGTTCAGATTCTAGTATACACTGGAGCACACACGTATGTAACGTACACACATATGTTACACACACACACACACACACACAGAGTGGTGAGGGACTCTCAAATCCAGAGCACGGAGCACTGAGGCTGTGGCATACAGAAAGCCTGCAGAGGGCAGAGGGAACCCTTACCTCAGGTATGGAGGAGGGAGGGGCCTGCTGACCGCTCCTGCCTGTCAAGTTTTCTTCATTCCAAGACGACGAAGCCATCTCCTGCCAGATTGCCAGTTGGTTGCATACCCTCTTAGGGTACATGGTAAGGGGTGAGTTGGGATAAGAGGTCCCTCTTCTAGACGAGAGCAGAATTTCCTCTACCAGGGAAGGCAGCCTCTGACTTAGGGGGACAAAAGATACAGGACCATGATTTCCACTGAGAGAGATCTCAAGTGGGAGGAAAGTTCCTTTTGAATTGTTTTCCTGTTGGGGTAGGGTCTCCTAAAGCCCAGGTTGGCCTAGAACTGCTTTCTACATAGCTAAAGGTGACCTTGAACCTTTGTTATTTCTTCATCCACATTGTCACCATACCTCCCAGATCTTTCTTTTAATATGATTATTACATTTTTTACTTCTAGTGTGTGTGTATGTGTGTACATGTGTATGCACGGTGTGTAGAGGTCAAAGGATAACCTTCAGGGGGCCAGTTCTCTTCTTCCATTATGAGGGTCACAGGGACTGAACAAGCCATCAGTTTTCTTCTCGAATGAAAAAAACTGGAGGGTTGGAGAGACGTTTCGGTGGTGACGAGCACTTGTTGCTCTTGCAGAGGACCAGTGTTCAATTCCCAGCATCTCCATGGATACCTGGACGCTCTGCACAAACTGTATCGCCACTTCCGGGCGCCCTACGCCTTCTTCTGGCCCCTGCTGGCACTGCACACACATAAAGCACAGACACGCAGACAAAATGCTCAGACTTAAAAATAGACAAATACTTTTAAAATGTATGTGGCTGTGTATGTATTTTCATTCCCAGCTTGTCCTTGCCCCAGCGCCTTTAGCTTTGCTTCTCTCAAGCCACACAAGTCTGTGCCTACTTTCTTCTCAGGAAGAGCGAGGAGGTTGTACTAGGTGACCTCCACCTTCTTTCCTCGCTTTAAATTTCCTTCGGTGAGACTTGCTGGACTCGTTTTACCAGCCCTACCTTCTCCCCAGCGCCTTCCTCAGATGCTGCTCCCACATCTGACTCCAGAGGGCGCTGCAGACGCGCCAGCAGTGCGGTGGGCGGAGTGATGACTCCAGCCGCGCGGCAATTGGTTGCTGCCCTGAGGGAAGAGGGCGAGGTGAGTGCCTGGCGGGGGCGGGAGCGAGTGGCGCGGTGACGTCAGCGAGACGGGGGCGGGGCTGGGGCTCGGAGCGTGTGACGCCGCAGGCCGCGGCGGAGCTGGGGATTAATGGGAAAAGTTTTGGCAGGAGCTGAGGGATTCTGCGGAGCTTGCGGGACGGCTGCGGCGGCGGCGCGGGAGGCGACCGGGACAGGTCCGTGCGGGTCGGGAGAGGTCAGCTTGGCCCGGGCCGAGGTGGACGATGGGGTCGGAGCTCCGGAGGCTGCGTTCCGCGGGGCTTGCGGCTCTTCTCTCTCGGCCTGTGCTCTAGAGGCGCCACCGCCGGGGTCCTCAGGACGGAGACCTCGGTGGCCGCTCCAAGCCGGCGTCTCTGCCTCCTCCCACCCACCCTAACCCACTCTGGGGCCCCGTGGCTTCATCTCCTCCCGATTCCCGGAGAACCCCATCTCCACCTCCCCTCTGACCTCTTGACGAGTACCTCTCTGGTGCCCCGCTACCCAGCCCTCTTTGGAGACCCTCCAGCCTCCCTTGAGAGCCTCCCATCCTTGCCCTGTCGGTCATTGCTCTCTCTCTCCCCATCTGCGTCCACTGTTTCTCCGGTTGTCTGATCCCTCCCCATCTTCCCTAGGATGTTGTGAGCCCGTCCGGTTTGTCCAAGCCTCTTTTATCTTGGCTACCGGCAGAGGCCCTGCTTTTGCCTGGCTCTGATTTCCTTGGTAGCAGTCCTGTCCTTTTCACCTCTTGTCACCCGACCGCTTTGCTTCTAGGTTCTTTGCCTCTACTTCGGTGAGAACCCAGAGGTACATGATAGGTTTCCGTTTTACATTCGGTTGAGCTGGGAGGACGGTAGAATGGGGTGTTGACCATTCTTGATCAGGTTTGTTCGGGCTTATTGATTGTTGCAGTGGGAGGGATGTCCAGTTGTTAGGCCCTTCTAATCTCAGCTTTACAATACTTCCCCTTTATGGGTCTGTTGACTTCCAGGAACCCTTGGGGAGAGCCGGCTCGGAGTTGGGTGTGCGCCAGTGGTAGCCGGAGGCCTCATATAACTCTTTTCCCCTTCCAGGAAATAGGATTCATTTGGGATATTATGGAACCCATTTAAACCATGACACTTCAAGCTATGTCTGCCCTCTCTCCTCCTTTCCACGCACTGCCCTATCCCAGAGAGCTAAGAGAAGTCTCCAGAAGTCATGCCTGAGGTTGCCTGTGGTCTTCAACTTGGGTTTTCTTCCCTGTACTGACTCTTGGAAGCCTTCTTGGTTTAAAAGTTACACTTATTTATTTGTGTGGGGTGGGGCATAAGTAGGTGTGTGTAGGTCAGAGGACAGTTACTGGAGTTGGGAGTTCCTTGTCTCATTCTATCATGTGGGCCCTGGAAATAGACTCAGGACAGCAAGGCTTGGTGGCAAGCACCTTTACCTGCTGCTGAGCCACTTCACCAGCCCCAGAATACGTTTTCCCCCCTCCTGGTTTGCGTTTTTAAATGGATTATGGGCCTGCTAGATAGCCCTGGGGCTGCTGGGCATCTGTACCATTTTGTCTTGATGTCTTGGGTAAAGGCCACACTGAATTTCTGTCCTCTGTCTTTCACTGATGGAATGTGCCTTACATATTGGTCACTGGACATGGTCTCTTAGTGCCTTTTCTTCTTCCTTTTCCTGGACAGCTCCATTTCCTGTGGCTGGGAGAGGCAGCCGATGTCGTTCCTTTTGCCGCCCAGGTGTGGTCTGGGGTATTGCCTTGGTATCTGCCTGGGCAGGCTGTGGGCTTGTGCCAGTGAGGTCTTGCGAGGAACTTGAGCTGCCTGCCTCCAGCACATGGATCGTGGTCTCCGATGTATCTGGGCTTGGGCCCCTTCATTTTGCCCTGGACCCCTGGAGACATCCTCAGGAAAGAATGTATACCCTGTTTTTACCCCACCTGATCTCGGCAGACTCTGGAAGTGTGACCCACTCTCATCTTAGAAGCGGGGACCCGTGGTTACACTGGCACCAAGTCTCTGGTCTCCCTCTGTTGAGGATTGTGCTCCCTGTCTTTGAGCCAGAATTGGTCACAGAACAGGCAACCTTCTGGAACCGCAGCAGGGAGCCAACCGAACCAGCTCGACCAGACCTTACAGTTTTGTAACCTTGGTGTACACTGACCCTTTTCCATGAAAGCAGTACAATTGTGCCTGGCTTGTGGTTGAGCCAGTCTCCTCTCCACTGGTACCCAAGCATCCTCTGTGCAGCAATGGATTCGGGGAAGTAGAGTGGGTTAGAAGAAATCTTTTCTTCCCATGAAAAACATCCTCCAAGGTTTTTTAAAACTATCTTTTACATTTATTTATATTTGTTTATTTTGTGTGAGTGTGTGGGACCAATTCTGGGAATCTGTTTTTCTCTGTTGTATGGGTCCCAGGTATTGAACTCAGGTCACCAGGCTGGGTGGCAAGTGCTTTACCTGCTGAGCCACCCCCCTCTTTTAAATTTGAGACAATATCCCTTTATAACCCAGGCTGGCCTTGAGCTCTCTTTGTAGCTCAGGTTAGCCTCCTACCTGGTAGCAGTCTTCTGCTTCTGTTTTGAGAGCTGGTATTACTGGGATACACTCCGCCCCGACCTCGGTCATTTTTGAGGGGTGCAGTTGAGTGCCTGGCTATGATTAGTCCAGTCTCTGGCTGCACAGAAACTCTGCCCGACACTCTCTTGGTGCATGTGTCTGTGCACCACTTATGTACTTGGTGCTATGGGTCCTCAGAGGTCAGAAGAGGGCGTTGGATCTTCTGGAACTGGAGTTATAGATGGTTGTTAACCACTCTGTGGGTGCTGGGAATTGAACCTGGGTCTTCTGAAAAAGTAACAAGTGCTCTTAACCTCTAAACCATCTCTCGAGGCCCCGACCTAGCACTCTTGAGAAGTCTGCCGCTGTCCTGTCTGAGGTCTCCCTGGGAGCCTTGGGCACAGCGCAGGGCCCGCCTGGCAGAGCCTTGTAAGCCCTAGCTGCGCTGGCTGGACAGCCTCCTGGGGGTGCGTCCATTCTGTGGCCTTCAAGGAAATAGTTGCTTTCCACTTGGTGATTTTCTTGCAGATTGTGGGTCAGTGCCTATTTTCAAGGTGCGGGTGGATTAGCCGTTGCCAGTGGCACCACCTGTCACCTCCATAGTTTATTGGACTGTCCCCCACTCTGGGAACTTTTCCTCTTGCCTTTTCTCTGCTGCGCTCTGGTATATGCCTAAACCACCCAGGAAAAGCAGCTCATAGCCCTCCTCCCACCCCGCCTATGGTCCCCTACTCTCTTCCCCAAAGGCCTGGTAGGATAGTCAGTGTGGAGACTAGCCTGGGAAGCTGGTAGGCCTCTATTTTGGACAGAACACAGCTGCCCAGCTGTTGTGCAAACTGTCCCAGGACTTCAGCCTGTCATGTCCTGGTACAATGAGACTTGTGTCTTCAGGAGGTGTTGGACCCGTGGTTTTCATCAGCTTCAGCTGAGTTCTGTCCTGAGGCCCACCTTCCCAGGGTACTGCTCTCTGCATGGTTGGGGGGTGTTTGTCTGCTGGGGGACCCGGCAATGCCAGGACTAGTTCACTGGTACTGTCCATATTGGGAGCCTTCTCACCTACCCAGCACTCTCACAGACTTGTCTGTCTTGCCAGACTCTGACTTGTTTTATGTCAGAAGCCCTGTGCCCAGTGCTCTTGTCTGTGCCATGCCGTCCCAGATTGCCCTGTGACTGTTCCTTGGAGACGGTTTCATATCGCTGAGCATGTGTGTGTGCCATGTTAGAGCGTGGGGTGTGTGTGTGGCTTGCTGTAGCGGCAGGATTCCAGGGTGTCCCTAGCTGGAGCCTGGCAGGGAAACGGGCCTTCAGCATCTGGTTTTAGGCGTGTGGGTCTTCTCCCACAGCCTTCAGAACTTGGGGTGTGACTCCGGTCTCTCTGCATGTTCCCCTAAGGAATCTGGTGTGACTCAGGGCCTCTCCTTTTATGAGCAAGTGGGGTGTTGGGCATCTCCTCCCTACCTTGCCAGCTCCTTCCGCCCCACCCAGGTAAGCTCAGCAGAGGTGGTGTCCACTTGCTTGGAAGTGCAAACTCCATCCAGAATTGGGAAATATTTGCTGACTCAAGCTGAGCTCGACAGTCTCTTCGGGTGTGTGTGTGTGAAGTCACATGGGACCACTGGTTTTTGAGTCCCACTGTTGTGTTAAAACTTCCTAGTACTTTTTTTGGACCCTGGCACCACTGAGGTATGGACCTTGGTTCCTTTCTGTCTTGCAGTGCTGCGCAGCGGTGTGGGCATGCACGTGACACTCACTCAGTGGCTCCTGCTCACCGACAGATGAAGACGAACCCACGGTAAAGGTAAAGCCCTCTTCACTGACTAGGGCGTCTGGCTGATGGCCTCAGGCTCCACCGCAGGCCGAGTCCCCTCTCATAGCTTCTGCACCATCACTGAACTCCAGTGAGCGCTCATTAGGGTCTGTGCGGCGTATGGAGGTCTTTAGGAGTGTGGGGAATCTCGCCGTTGTACCCACTGAAAAATAAACTCCACAAGAACAGGGATTTACTCTAGCTCTTCTTGTGTCTGAAGGACCACCTGCTATAGAGGGTGGTCAGTGTTTGCTGAGTGACTAAATGAACACTCTTGCTTCTCTGCCACGTGGGTACGCCACAGGTCCCCAAGATGCCCCTCATCATTTTCTTCCGTTTATGCCATAGATGAGTTGCTGTTTGGTTGTTTTGGAGACAGAGCCTGGATTTGTAACCAGGCTGGTGTAGAACTCCAGGTCTCCTTGCTTCTCCTTCCTAAGTGCTGGAAGTGGAGGTGCACACCCTCACATTTGCTGGGGCTGGGGTGGAGGGGCACAATAAGGAAGCTTTATCCCTGCCCCCACATCTGTGGGGCAGAAACAGGGCTCTTCCTTCTCCGCTGGGTGTCTGAGCCCTCAGCAGATCCCCACAATGCTCTGGGCTTCTCGTGCTGTTTCTCTGTTCTCAGGATGCCTGGCAGGTTCCAGAAACTCTCAGAAGGGCACACCAGGGAGTTTGATGGTCATTGTCTTGACTGTTTGGCAGGCTGAGTTATGGCGGGTCCCTGCTGGGGGCTGGGGAAACCTGGCCCTGTTTTAATCTCTGATGTACAGCGGGACCAGGAGCTGTTTGTGGGCTCCGCTTCCCTTTCTCTGTCTTCTACACCTGGAGGATTTTCCTGTTGCCAAGGCGGGTGACCATGTCTGTCTGTCATAGGGATCAGGTTGTTTGTGGATCCTTCTGGAAGGTCTGGGGCAAGAGCCCCTGCAGTTCTCAGACCCACATCCAGCCCCTTCGCTCTGAAGGGCATGTGAGGGAGGAGGAAGAACTGGGCAGAGGCTTCTGAAGGTCCCATATGGGATAAGGAGGAAGTCCTCCAGGCTGAGAGAGCTGCTGAGCTACACTGGTTTCTGTCACGTGTGTAGCAAAAATGTCTGTGGTTCAGCTTCAGCCTTCATCTCCTCCCATGGAGGCTAAGTTTGAGCTGCATCTCATTTTCCGTGCAAATCTTAAGGGTCTGCGGCCGTTGCCTCTTAAGTCTTCTTGCCGCTTCCTTGGCCCAGGTGCTCTGAAGGGGAAGGTGATTTAGACACAGTCCTCAGTTGCCACCCCTCTTAAGGCGCGAGGAGCCTGGCTGAGGGGAGAAGACATGCCTAGGCTAAGTTTTCAGATTTTAGGGAACTGGCAGGTACCCAGAGTGTGACTGTCAGAGGGTTTATCTTTAGACGGCATGCCAAGGGCCAGACAGGCAGCTGGGCTTTGAAGTCACCATACAAAGTAGTAAAGTAGTAGTTTTCAAACTTCTGTCCTCAGCATCCTCCCACACACCTCTTTCTTGACCCTATGTAGACCTGACTGGCCCCAAACTCACAGTGATCTTCCTGCCTCTGCTTCTAGGGCGCTGGAATTAAAGGTGTGAAACCCAACATCCAGCCATCTTTAAGGTTTTTTGTTTTTGTTTTTTTACTTGTTTGTTTTTAGAGACAGGGCTTCTCTTTGTAGCTTTGTAGCCTGTCCTGCCACTTGCTCTAGAGACGAGGCTGGCCTCGAACTCACAGAGATCCGCCTGCTTCTGCCTCCTGAGTGCTGGGATTAAAGGCCTGCGCCACCATCGCCCAACTTAATTTTTTAAAATTACGTTTGTTTGTTTATTGACTGTCTGTGTGCTTGTGTGCACATGCGCACCGTGTATGTGGAAGTCAGGACAACAGCTGCTCCTAGCATGACGGCTGAGCTCTGAGCACAGGTAGCCCAGATTGAGAGTACTGAAGAGATGCTTGGTCTTCTTAGAAGACACGGCGTCATCTTCTCTGATCTTTTGGTTACAGGACCAATTCAGACCAAAGGGAGAATGACACCAAGATGTGTCCTGGAGAGACGTGGAGAGGGAGAGGCGTTCTTGAGCACAGCCACTGCTGTGGGGAGGTCACTTCCAGAAGGAAAGTACTTTCTCACTGTTTCCACTCTGGAGCAGCCCTGTTAGGAATTCCCTGCTAGGTTCATTGAGGATGTTGAGTCACAGGGAAGGTGTTTGCGTCTAGTTTGGGCAGTTCTGGAGAAGGAGCACTAATACTGCACAAGGTGACTAGAGAGAAGGGATGGAGGTGGGGGATGGGAGGACAGTACAGGGGTCTTGGGGAGGGGAGTGCTTCCCCGCTTTGATCTTGTCCCTGTGGGTGCAGCGACTGCACTGGCTTTGATCTACACCAGTCATATAAGTGCCCAGAGCGCGAGAGGGGATCTCCAGCCTCACTCAGGGTTATTGATGCATGGGAGAAATAATTAAAGAGTCTATACATGTTAAAAGGCAGCAAATTTAAGTTTTATTGTCAAGGCTAAGACACATATAAAGCTAAGCATTTTACTAAAGAACTGAAAAGCCAGGCAGACAGAATAATTGTTAGCAATTGTTAATTGTTTCAAGTGTACTTAAGTTTCGGACCCTTAAAGGCAGGGATAGGGGCTGGAGATAGTTCAGTGGTTAAGAACATTTGTTCTTCCTGGGTTCGAACCCAGGACCCACATGGTATCTCAAAACTGTTTGTAACTGTCCATAACTCCAGTTCCAGAGGATCCGGTGTCTAACCTTTTAGTGTTCCAGACATGGAAGTGCTACACAGACATAAGCAAAACATAACACTCATAGTCCTGAAATAATGAATCTTAAAAAATATTCTTAAAAAGCAGAAAGAGCAGCCAAGTGTTGCTAAAGTTTCCTTGAGAGACTGGGACACTCCCACCGTGGTCCCAGTGACAGACCATTGTGTGAGTCCATCAGCTTCAGTCTAGGAAGCAGTGAGTTTATTAGGCTTTACCTGCTGAGCATGGGTGACCTTAAAGCAACCACAATAGGTCTACACCCAGTGTGGATGATGGCTGCTCCGTGGCTGTCCCCTCTCCCGGTCCTTCACCATCTGCATCCTCTCACTGTTCCCAGAGATCTTGAGATGGGGCACTTAGGGCAGACTTGCATACACATGGCTGGGAGGGGTGCCCGGGTACTCAGGTGAGGGTCCTGTGACCCTCCCCCCGAGAGTCTGCAAACCCAGCCATGATGATCCTTGGCAAGCTGGCCCTGGCAAACTCCTGAAGATGACAGCAGTGTGGTCTTGAAGACAGTCCTGTATAGCACAGGTCTGTGACCCAAGTACATGGGGGGGGGGTGGAGGCAGGAGGATCATTTCAGGAAATTTGAGGCTGACCTGGGCTTTGTGGGACCAAGCCTCAAAAAAACAAAAGGAAAAAGAGTGAGAAGAGACGAGAGTGAGGCCATGTTGGGGAGTGACAGCAAGGGTCAAAGGTTAGGAAGCAGCCTGAAGCAGGGGCTGGGCTCTCCTGGGTCTCCCCCCCGCCCCCCCCCCAGTCAGCAGCTTGTCCTTTGAAGAGGCATGTGTGGATTTGGTGCAGGCTGACGGAGAGCCACCCTTAGCTGCCCTGTTAACCATGGTTTTCAGTTTAGTGTCCCCAGCCTTTCCAGCTTCTCGGAGAGGATTGGGAGGAACCACAAACCCCCGAGTGTCCCCTTCTGTGACTGGGCTCTGAGTGTTGAGGCATCTCCTCTCCCCGTTCAGGAGTGACCTTTGGAACTGTCTTCACTACTTGTCACATGGCCTTGGGGACAGGGCAGCACACAACAGTGCCCCTTTCTTGCTTCCTTATCCCATCTTGCGTACCTTGCGTCAGCCCAGCCAGCCATCCTCAACAGCTCTCCTGGCATTGTTACTGAGTTCTTCACAGCTCATCTGGATGCAACTCTGGAAGCTGCTGTCCTTGGAGGGCACAGCAGCAGGGAGCTCCTGGCTGTGGGTGTCCCGTATGAGACTCTTATGGCTTTCCTGTATGATCCTTGGCACAGCCTCGGCACTTCCCGTGTCCAGGAGTCCGTGACCTTTGAGGCTCAGAGAACTTGGCCTCCTCTCAGCAGCTGCGCAGGCCAGCCCACTTCCCAGCTGGCAGCGTAGCTGACTAGGCCTCTCTCACCTCACAAACACTGCGCTGGAATTTTCTGGAACTCAGAATGCCACTCATCTCCATTTCCAAATAAGTGAGGTTTGCTTTTCCTCAGTTTCCCTAAATGCCTAAAGCATTTTTGGGCTTGTGATTAATTTTTCCCCTCTGCCTCTGCTTCAATACTCTTGAGTACAGGCTCGCTCCTCAGCCTTCTGGGTGTATTGGGGGAGTTTGTGGCCCTCTCTCCTGGGTGGCGGGGGCAAGCAATACATGGCTTTTGTCTACCGGAGGTCCGTGGCACTGACCCTCCCCAGCTGTGGAAACCCAAGAAGGTCTCCAGACATCGCCAAGTATACCTTTAGGGCTACAGTCAGCCTGACCAGTGTCTCTGACCAACTGGGCACACTGGTAAGGAGAGCAGACAGTCCTTGTGTGGGAAGCCGACCCTTGTCACCTCAGCAGGTGCTGGGCGGCTTTGGGAAGCTGAGAAGTGGTTTACAAAGAGTCGCGTGCCCCAGGGACAGCCACGCAGCAGAGGGTCAGCGCCTAAGGCACAGCCATCACCCTGGCCACACGTCTCTGACTGTGCTTTTCCAAACTGTTTAGTGTCTGCAGAAGCCACATTCCTGGGACAGCTGGTGACATTTGCTGTACCCATTGCCCTGCACTGACTGACTCTGGTGCCTTTATGGCCAAGGATCTGGGCACTCTGGTCATCGTGGCTCATCTAAGCCCTCTGCTCAGGCAATGGTGCTGCTGAGAGAAAGCACCCATTACCCTGGTCCACAGGGGTTGACTGGCCCAGGACAGTCTGACAGCTCACTATCTGGTAAAAGCCCTGAGGACAATGGGGAGAGCACCTTGATGTCAGCGCACATTCT